CACTCTTCTAAGAAGTTTACCGCAGCCAAAAAAATAAGAAACTGGTCATTTAAAAGTTTGAAGCGTGCCATATGACCAAAAACACATGATTTGTCCGTTAAAGTTGAAAACAAATCCAAACCTACCCTCCCCCCTCCCCCTCTCCCCCCTCCTCCAACCTCCCAACTCCGCATTATCAAATTGATCATCCATTCAAAAAAACTTCGAAACTCTTTAAATAATCGAAAAATTTGAGGTAATACTCCGAACCCCCCCCCCCCCCCCCTACTATCATTTCACACACAAAATGTTACATAACATTCAAAAATGACCCCTTCAAATCATAGTCAATTGTTATTAGTCAGGAATAATTTTATGTAGCCATCCATAAAGCACTATAATTTAAGCAAAAGGTTTTCAAATTTTCTCCTCAGTCATTCGCCGAATAAAAAACACAGTGAACTCGCAGTTCAACGAATCCAATATTAAAGTGATTTCAATCACAATCTACACGTGATTCATTCATTTATTTATAAACATCCATTCGCTCAGTCATTTATATCGCTTTTAAGGTAAGATAAAAGCAGAGAATTTAATTTTTATAAAAAGGAGAACTGAATGTGTACAGGGATTGAAAATGGAGAGAGTAAGATAGAGAGATCGTGCAATGAAATGAAATATAATGAAAGCGACGAGTGAGAAAAATCAATAAAATAAACAGACGGAATACAAAATTGAAATGTTACTGCATCCACTTGAAGAGAAAAGCCCTTTTTTGTTCTCTGATAACAATTTTTTTTTCTTCTTCCATTGCTGCTTTCACACAATTTTCCAAATGAAATTAAAATAGCGAACAAACGAAACGAAGAAAATGGAAATTGTAATTCCTTATGAAAATATACACTTTAGTGCTTTTTCTGTCACGAAATCAAAAGTTTTCAACATAATTTTTATATTTTTTTTACATTTCTTTACTCTTTTTTGCTTGCATAAGGATTGTGCTTTAGCTCTTTCTCCGTATAGCACGTTTTATAAGGTTTCATGTTGAGTAGACGCTATTGTCCTTACAATTTTGTAAAAACTATTGTTTTTAGCATTCTAATGCATCATAGTCTGGAAATGTTAATGGTTTCTAATGGATATTAAGGATGCCTTACCATAAGCATTATCAATTTTATTTAAACACTAGGAAGTGATGTATTGGTTATTGATTCTAGGGCAAGGTACCATGGGAAGCTCTACAATCTAAATACAGTAAGGTTTAATAGTGCTCAAAGGTTATGGTTAGTCTTAAACCAATGCTAGCAAACAGAAATTTTTGTGTTCTTATTATTCGAACTTCGAATTTTTGAGGTTCTTATTTTTCGAAAATCGAATCTTCGAAGTTTTTATTTTTAAAAAAATTTGTTGTGAATTATTATTTTTCGAGTAATTTGTAATTTTAGTGAACATTCCTACTAGTTTTTATGATTAAGATAATCACTGTGATGAAATTGCATTCCTTAAATGTTTATGCTTTAAAAAACAGCTAGTTTAAAAAAAATAAAAAGTAACGGACTTTCTTATTTTGAAATTTTAAAAAATATACCGCGCGAAAATTTTGAATTTTTTTTTGTTTGTAACGGACTCTGTTCTCTTTGCTAACATTGGGTCTTAAAGTAGCGATTCTACGCATAAGTTCCTCGCACAAAACCAGTTAAAGATTGGCACAAAGCTGGCACAACTCTGACGCAAATCAAATCCAACACTATGCCAGAGTCACAAAGGCTTGGAGATGGATTTCTATTTGATCTGATGATTCCGTTATGTTTAAGGACCTACCCCACAATCGTAAGTTCGAAACTCATCAGAAACAATTCCAATATTTCGAATCAAAAGTCTAAATCACAGATTTAATTAAAGACCTAGGAAACATATCAACGAATATAGATCAACGATCACAGTACCTATTAGTTTCTGAGTTTTCTTGTTCAAATTATAACCTAATACCAGTAATGCCCTGCAAACTATAAATGCGCTATTGAACCGCAATCTTATCTTTAATTTCCCAACAATTCATTCATTTATTCCCGCTAACCTCCTCTCAATCATTCCTTAACTGTATATTCCATGCACACTACTAGTTATATATACTTTTGTTGTTGCCTTCTTCTTCTTCTTCTTCATCGCTGACGACGTAAAAAACAATGAAAATTCTATTTTTTTCCTCTTGCCTTCTGTTTCTACCAACGTTAATTTTGGCAACGAGAAATATAAACCCAAAAATTAAGGCCTTACGAAAGGAGAAATTGCTAAAACAAGAGACTGAAAATTGTATGTAATCATGAAAATTCATTCGGTCAACATTATTGTACACATATACAAACAAGGAAGACTGAAAAATAAATTCATGATGTGAATGCCAAAGAATTTACATTTCGACTCACACTCACAGCCATAAAAGTACGTCGAGCATAGTGTACAGAGTAAGTGAGTAAGAGCGAAGGGAGGAAAAAAACTTGAATTGGCAACTAATTTGTAATTTTCAAAGACCGACACAATGTATAATGTGTATGTGCCTTTCGTAATCAAATGTTTGTAATGCACGATTTCGTGTGAACAATATTTAATGTTGTAATATAGTCATATGACGCTATAGGATTGTTATACGCTATTCTTTCATGATTTTTATACTCCAGCACTTCAACATGTAGTATTTGCTGATGATTAGTACAAGGAAAGTATTAGAATATCATTACGTTTTTTTTAGACGTAAATTTTGGATTTTATTTGTGGAAGAACGTGATTGAAATACGTTAAATTTTTAGATGAGCATTCTTGATGTTTTTTATGCATTTGCGATTGTGGATGGAGAATTTCTCAATAGCCAAGATATTTTTAAACTTTTTTACAAACAACCTACACACTTTAGTCAAGTTCAAACCTCATTTTAATTAAGGTATCCAACTGTGACTAATTCAGTTTAAAACTTAAGTATTGAAAGTGATCTAAAAGAACTCCCACATCATAAAAATAATATCATTAATTCATGCAGCTGGTATGAGTCTGATTTTAAAACTTTATAGATTTCCTGCAATTTTATTAAGTTTCCGAGGTAAATTGTTGGTTATTCAAGCCTCTTTGGGGGTCGATCGCATATTTTGTAACACTATAAATTGCTATTTTCAACTCCCTCTACCCAAGTTGTGACTAATTTCGTATAGAAATCAAAAAACATTAATATCTAGCGTAACAAAATTCCAAACCCTTCAAACCTCTATTCTAAGTATTACGAAATATAAAAATGATTCCTTAAACCAGTGATTCTCAAACTAAGTGCCACGGCACACTAGAGGGTCGTTGAAAAAAATTCCACGTGTGACGCGAACAAAATTAGAGTTGAAAAACGTGGACCAAAAAACATTTAACAAACACTGCTTTAAACACGACGCCTAGCACCTAGGTTTTGGTTGTCATACTTTAGTCATGTAAAAATAAACGTCATAAATAAAGTCCACGCTTGAGCATTTTACAAAATTCATTTCTACATATACGCTAAATGCATAATAATTATAACGCACAACACAAAATAAAACCTGCTTTAAATATTTCTAAGGAATCAAGAGAACAGAGTTAACAGACTGGTAGCAAGCAAAGGCAAAAAATTTAATAATTGCATGCTCAATATCCAAACGAAGTGTTGATCAACCTTTGTGTCACACTTTAAAAGTAGATTTAATGTTCCTCAAATTTTTTGTTCATGCACATTTTTCTAAAGTCATAAAACATACCGTGGCACACCATTTGAGAACCACTGTCTATAAAAATTTAACTTCCAATAATCCAACTCTGCTTGTAAACAAGTTTCCTGTATGTAATTTCACTCCTTTTTCTCTCATAAACCGCTCCTACAAATTTCCTTATCCAATACTTATTTGTATAAATTTTAGATAAGTGCGTTTTACAGGAAGTTCATAAAGTAAGAATGCCATTATATAATCTGATTGTACATTCTCGTATTATCAGATCGTTTTAAATGCATAACATTGTTTTCCTTTAATAAATTAGATTCACACATGCTTGCCAGCACTTAACATAGAAGTAGCATTTACTGTTGAGAAAATTAATACAGTTATTTATTTGCAAACGAATCAATTTGAATGCTGGTTGTGTTAAAAAAAAAGTTTTAAATTATTTTCCCATGACTTTCCAAACGAGAATATTTCAGCATTTGGATTGCTCGTAACAGTTTGCAATTTTTTTTTTGCTTTGTTTTAAAATTGTTTCAGATAAGGAGAAACAAGAAAGCAATTAAATTTCAATCTACACGTCCACACTCATGCTGTTGTTGCTGCAGAACAGAGTCGTCCATAGAAATTGTTTAAGTCAGGGATGAGTTTTGTGGTTCACACCTACCAATACTACTTTTTAAGTTATTCCTGAACCTGATCCTATCTTATACCTACTCTTATGCTCTTGCATACACTAGACCATGAGTCATGGGCGTAGTCAGGGAAAGAAAGGCATATGCCCCTGTACTAAGTGTATGGGGAGTTGTAGGTGCATACCAAGAAGCCCCGCCTCAAAGTAGCAGATTTCTTACTCCTAGGAACACACCCCTAGCTACTCTCTTACAACAGACTATAGACTCTGTAAATAAATATACTTTTTTTATAAAAATTTCACCAAGAAAACCGAAAACAACAACAATAATTTATTTTAAAAAGTAATTTAAAAAAATTACTCAAAATATAATTACGTGTAAGTGTGTGGAAGACATAACAGTTAAAAAGTGTATAATGAGATGAAAAATTTCATTCCTCACCCAATTCTCCACGATTGTTTACTTTATTTCACGCTGCTAATATTTCATGTTCTTTTTTAACGACATTTTTCATTCCGTCTCCCCTCAGTTTCATTCCTTCATCTTTTCTTTTATGAGTTATATCACAATTATATTTTTTCTTCTGCTTAGTTTTGGTGTGTTTTCTGGCGAATAACTGACATTGCTCCTGTTAACTTGGCAAAAGTGTGGAATAACGATGCGGAAATTTTGGTTTGCCATTATTGATATTGTTCTCATGATGACAATTTCTTGTGCTGATAGTGATGGTAAAATTTTGTGGCAATAAAATTTAATTTTATGTGATTCAATTTAAACTGACAAAGGAGAGTAAGACTAAAGAATAAGAACTAGTAAAGTCAGAGTAGTTTGACTTGAACGATGCGCGCTTTTAGTAACTGAATCAGATCCGGTCTCTCAGCACTTTATATTGATTTGAATACAAAGAGACGAACGTTATATGTAAGTAAAACTGAGAGACTGATGGACTGACAGACTTACCGAGTAGACTTAGCATACAAGCTTACTGAGGTCCTTACAGACTAATTGATGAACTGACAGACAGCACTTAGATGAACAGTAACCAGATAGACACACAGACAGACAAAACACAAACACCAACATCCCATCACTTAACAAAAATGCACTTAAAAAGCTGAAACTGCGAACGACTGAGAATGAATGAATTAATTTATTACTTCAATTTATATTTAGGCGAACAGTTACATGATGATGAAAATACAACAGACAGTTACAATCGTAGCGATGACGACAGCAAGGACGTAATTGTTGGCGACATGCTTCTAACACGAGATCAAGTAAATTATCTCTATTCAACAGATAGCTCTCAGCGTTTAGGTCTAACAAATCCAATTCGACAATGGCCAAATGCAAGCGTATTCTATAAGTTTGACAAATCGTTGGATCAAAAAGCAAAGGGAAAAGTTATAGTCTCTATGAATTATATTCAAAACGTGTCTTGCATCCGTTTCATAGAGAAAGATGAAAAGACAAGGAATTATGTATTAATTAAGCAGGGTAAAGCTTGTAACTCAAAAATTGGTATGCAACAAGGGCAACAGCCAATGATAATTGATGGAGATTTATGTACAAAGGGCAACGTTGTTCACGAGATTTTACATACACTCGGATTTTTGCATATGCATACAGCCAATATACGCGATGAATATATTAACATAAACTGGGATAATATTAAGGACAACGCTAAATTGAATTTTAAGCCATTTCTAGCAGATGTGAGCATGTTTGATACCCCATACGATTACAACTCAATAACACATTATAGCAGTACAGCCTACGCCAAGAACAAAAGCATCCCGACAATTATTGCTAAAATAGAAGCACCCAATATGGGACAGAGAAAAGGTATAAGCTAAGGCACTAAGAAATTTGAGTCTATGTACATACATATGTGTAAATGGAGAACGGATCTTATCTATTGCACATAAAACTTAATACCCGCAAGCTTCATGTAGGAAAAGTTCCAAGGGGGTAACAGCGTGATGGGAAACAGTTCTTCTATCATAATGTTGTCCCCTTTAGATTTTTTAAAGCTCAAAATTTTGAAGGGAACCCCTATGAAAATCATTTCCCATCATGTTGTTGTCCCCCTTCAAATATACATAATATTGTGTACATTCACATACCTTCTTCTCTCATCTCATGCAAACATACTCTTTACTCTCTATTACATTGCTATAATATTCTTTTTCATTCGATATTTTATTTTATGTTTTTTTTTCCTTTCCATTCTCAATGGTGTTTTCATATTTGTCTTTCTAGTGCCATTTCCTTCTACAAAAGGCACCAACTATGCTTCTTTGTGAGGTATTTTGTCCATTTTTCCGTGTGTCACATGAACTGTTAATCTCTCATTCACACAGAGGAAATCTTGCTTTGATTTATGGGTCAAATAACAGCTTGAATGCTTGACTTATAGAAAGTGACAGCAACAGAAAGGATTTTTTTTTCTTTCTTTTCCTTCAAATTCTTTTAATTCTTTTCAAGCATTTAAATAATGACAGTGAAAACTTTTGCTCCCTCAACATGTCTCATTAAACTTTTTGGAGCGAAATTTTGCTGAGATTACAAAATTCCATGTTTTGGGAAAAAGAATTCTTTTGGGGGACGAGACGGGATGTCTTAAAGCTTTGGAATTTTTTGATCAAAATTTCATGAAGCGAATGAGGTTTTTGACTTTGTTGGAATTTTTGTATGCCGAATAGAAAGTTTTAGAGTTGGATTGGTGGGGTTGTGGTAGAGTTACAGGAATGGATTGATGTGAATTCGTTGCATCGGTCATAGGTTTGAGTCTCAGCAGAGACGTTTATGACTTTAGTCATAAATATGCATAAGCAATGATGTTGTCGACATCAATAAGTTTTAATGGATATGCTTGATAAATACCAAACTTTTAAAGATTGTGATCAACCCCCATCACCTCTATACTAGATCTAATCTAACAACATAACCTCAAAGATCAAGAACCCACGACAATTAAAGCATTTACATCCCAACAACAGCATTCACGCTCCAGCCATCCTTAATAATTCTAATTCTGACCTTTAATTCAATGAAAATGCGCTTCCAACATCTTCAATTTAACCTTTTCATACCTCATTTTATTCATATACATTCATACCAACATCACTACACGTGTTTATTTCATGAACAGGAAGAAGTCATATGTATTATGGAACGAAGAAAAATATCCATTTAATCATACTATTTAGTCATTGTGTCATGTGTAATATTATGAAAATCAGCTTTTTGTCTCTTTTATAATGTTGACGATGAAATTTTATATAATTTAATTATTATTAGCTTCTGTATGGCTGTATGGTGATGGAATAATTGAAATTTTTACCTAATTCAATTACATGAAATCCATTGTGTTAGGATTATATGAGGATTTTCTATTGTTTCGTAACATAATCAACTGATACATTTTATTATTTACCTTCCATGTATTCACTGCAGCACTGTCGGTTGGCGATTTAACAAGATTAAATCGAATGTACAATTGTCCGAACTTTGAAGTACCGACGATAAAGCCTAATGGAAGGTCTTTAAGGGAAATGGAAGCCCAATCCTCTAATGGAACTGAAGCTCCTAAAATGGTTGATAGTACACCTACCAATGACCTGTCGATGGATGTAGACGGTAATGAAAAAAAGATAAGCGACTTGAACTCTACCAATGGTAACACAAATGCACTCAATTATGAGGACGACGAAGATGATATGATCCTATCACAGGAACAGCTCGATGAATTGTATTCGACAAAAGCTACGAAAAGAACGGGTTTAAAGTCAGACTTCTTCAGATGGCCTGAGGGAGTTGTGCCATTTCAAATTAATGCATCCTATTGTAAGACTTTCTCTATCCTTACATTCTTTGACTGAATTTCATTTTATTTGCTTGCCTGCTTTCCTTTATTTTCTGTACTGAATCAGTTTATATGGCAGTGTTGATACTGAGCTAATTGAGCTGGCTGAGTGCGAATGTGTATCAGAGTAGCTTTTCATGATATTGATCGGTAAACTATCTTCATGACTAGAGATTGATTTTCGATGGGAATCGAACTCTTGTCTGAAAGTGAAGGACCCCTGATTTCGGGTCAATAGCTAATCTACTCGACTATGAAAACTTTACTCTTGAACTGACAAAAATTCCTTCATATGATGCAGTAACCAATTACAATTCCTATATTTCCTACTTCTCAGACCTTAACATGTAATGTAGGGTTTTGCTTAGAGCAAAAATGGCTCTACGATCGATGATCTGTTGTTGTGACCTTAAAATGATCCCAGTCAAATAATTCGAATATCAACACTGCTATTTAGATTGAAAATTTCCTCCTCTTTTTCTAATTACTTCTAGTTCTTTCCGTTCTCATATTGCTGTACAAAAAAAAAGTCCCTCGAGAATGAAAAGAACGTCATAAAATGTGCTAGAAAAAGAAGGCAAAAAAAATCTCAATTTCTACTTTTTTTCACAGCTCCTGAATTCATTTCAAGTATTTATGATTCGATGAACTACATAAGTAATCATTCGTGTATTCGATTCGTTGAGAGAGCATCGGCGAACAATCAGAATTATATTTACATAACATCAACAAAATCGGGCTGTAGCTCAGAAGTTGGAATGCGACATACTGGAAGACAGTTGATGAATATAAATGAGCAGCATTGTCCACGCGGAAAAATTATTCATGAGCTCCTACACGCTTTGGGGTTCCTTCATATGCACACAGCTAAGTAAGTTCCCTGTGTTTATTTTCTCTCTTTTTTTTTGGACATTGATTTGACATTTTTTTTCGTAATACGTGTCACTTTTTAAATTCCTATTTGCTTGATTTTTAAATAATCTTATGCGTCATTGTAAGTGCGAACAGAACTTACCGTGATTGGAAGTGAAAAATCCAATTTATATTCACCTTTTGAGGTTAGTTCGTGGATGATGTTTATCATTTTTTGAGAATTTTCAAGCCCCCCCCCCTTAAAATTGTCAGCTCTTACAAAACTTCAGAACCCCTCATCCCCCTTTAAATGATAGACATCATTCTTGAATGACCCCCTCCAGTCACCCAAACTTTCAATTTCCGTTCCTTTCCATCCCATCCACTGACTTTACTTAGCATGTAGAAATGAAAAAAAAATCGTCGTCTTCAATTTTCTTATTACGATTTTTTGCTCTCTCTCTCTCACTTCTCATGCCCTTCCTCATCTCATTTTACGCTTATAACACGATTCACCAGTGAACGTGACAATTACATCCAAATAAATTGGAACAATATAAAGCCAGATGCATGGACCAATTTTAAACAATTTGTATCGCATGTTAGCATGTTTTCAACACCATACGATTACAATAGTATCCTGCATTATAGTACAAAAGCATTTGCTGTGGATAGATCGAAAGATACAATTATTCCGTTGCGATCTGCACCAGATATGGGACAGCGAAAAGGTAAATGTATGCACGGGGAGAATAAAAAAAATTATATTTATATTCTCAAAATAGTACAAAACATATTCATACGGACAGTTAATTATTTTCCGATTACTTTCCGGTTAGAATAGGTATGAGCCAGGGCGATATAATACGATTGAATCGTATGTATAAATGCAATATGACTACGACGGTATTCAGTGACACGAGCATAAAATCATTATCATCTAAAATCACACCTATTGAAACATCGAATACGGAAGTGGGTGGTGATAGCCTTAAAAATAGCAAAACATCACCGTGGACGAAAGAACGAGAAAATGGAGATAAGCAGGCAAGAACAATATTAGGGGTACTTATTTTCAAGCTTATTGGCAAGAATTAATGAATTTCGCACATGTTGAGCCGCACTTATAATAAATTCGAGCATTTTTTTTTCAAATAAAGAAAAAAAGTGAAATTAGAAATAAATCACGAGCTTTTCCTTTCAAACTTCCGTTTTGTGTTGTGATCAATTGCTTCGATGCATGCAAATACCTAAATCGCTTGCCTGCCTTTTGGACTCTTCACTATCTCTTACGTCTACGAGTACATGTACTATAGTTTTTATGCATTATTGATTCGTTTAGCTTTTTCTATTGCTGGAATTTGCTGAATGCATTTAATGATTCTGTCTATGCTTCTTTATGTTTATAGCTAGCTGAGATATGTGAATCTTTTCGAAGCATTATTGCAGTTTTTATATTGCTGGCAGGCATCAATTTAGAGCTGCTTTTTTTTTGTTATTGATGTTTGAAGTCTTTGTTATAAAGTCGTTCATGTGTTAGAGGCCGTTCACTTATTACTTAATGCGATATTTTTTATTTGGAACCCTCCTCCCCCACCCCCCCCCCCCCCCCCCCTATATGGAAAAAAATTCTTTTGTTTGAACCGTATCAAAATCTAAGAATCCCCCTCCCCTTAAAAGCATTACGCAATAAGTGAACGACTCCTTATGTAATTAGTCAATCGCTCATTAGACTGTCTAAAACCTAAACTGACAATTCACCGCTCTTGTTTAGAATCAATAATTGTCAGCTTAAAAATTAATATAAATATCATTTAATAATTGAAGGTTCGAATCCTATTCCGATATTTACCAGAAATATTCTAGAAAAAATGTCAACCCTTTTTTTTTGACGGTTCTGACAAGCAAACTTCTATATTTTTTGCTTTAAAAACCAACAACCCCCTCTCGACTATCAAGTGAACAAATGTTTTAAGTAGCACATTAACGTGACTGACATTTCATGTTCTGCATTCTAAATAAACGAGAAATTTGCAGCTTATGCGCTTCATTCATTCCACGTATGCAAATAATTTTGCATTTTCAAGCTCTCATCTACAATCTGAATTCTCAATGAGGAAAAAAATCTTCACGTTGAATCCTGAAGGTGCAAAAGAGGCACACAAACTCTGTGCAGATAGTAAAAATTTTTTACATGAATACTTGCATGTTGTAACTTTTTGATTACATGATGGTTGTAAAATGAATGAGAATGTGGCAATAAATTCAGAAGTTGGCCTGGGGGCTGTTCAATTATTAAGTAATAGATAAAAATGACTTTATAGACAAGTCATCTCAGCCGAGATTCCTATCATGACATCCTTCCCCTTCCCATCCTTACTAAAAGGGTTACGTAATTAGTGAACGACCCGACGAGAAAAAATAAGCATTTTAATACAAATCCTGAAATTCTACGCTTGAGGACTTGCTTAATAATAATCTCATAAGATTTAACAATTTCATCATAAATTGTTGATTTTCTCAGAAACAAAAGACGAAAACTTTTAAAAAAATTTCCACCATAATAAGATGCAGTTACAGTAAAATCCATGATGAAAATTTTATTTTTCCAGATATTTCATATTGTTATGTTACAGAACCGAAAAAACTTTTTCTTCCATCTTCTTATTTTTCCCCTGAACAATATTCGGATATGGTTCAGAGAATTAAGCTTAGTCATCTTTGTTTGTCAAGTTTATTTATTATATATACATGGCATTAAGACTCTACACATACACATGACAATCTTAAAGTATTTTTATCATTCGATGATAATGTAGATATATGCAGAGATTGTAATTTAATGTAATATATGGCAATAACGAGTTGGATAGATCACAAATTTATTCATTATTCAGTAAATCTGACATTCTTCACATCGTCGACAGTTTTCCATAACTTTTTTTCTTCTTTCTCTTTTACTTCTTATTTACGCAAAAATCATCTCCGTAATTTGTGTCATTTTTCATATATTGGAAAGTTTTCTGTGATTTTTTTCGTAACAGGGTTGTTATTTATGTATTGAGCTTTGTAAAATAAGGCTGAGTATGAAGAGTTGCAATTTAAAGAGTTGTTTTTACTTTTAACCACTTTTCTTCACCCCAAATAGATGTGTTTGACAAATATAAAGTTTAGATCAGTGATGGTTAACCTATGTGCCGCGGCACTCTAAAGCGTCGCAAAAAACTAGAAATTCCACGAACAGTATGCCGAATGTGGTTTCATCATCACCAATGTGTGCCGTGCCACAAAAAAGGTTGGACACCACTGGTTTAGATCGACTTCAGTCAATACAGTTTTTAATCGAGTCAAATCAAGTCAAGAAGACTTCATGCTCTGAAATAAGCACTGGTCTAAAGTCTGAAACTAGATTCCAGAATACTTATACTATAAACAGTCAGTTTGAGGGCTTTTACTAAACTAATTAATGTCTAGCTGTAATATTAATTGGTTTTAATAAGATCTTGACTAGTTTATGCATTTCTTACAGTGCTTCTCAACAACCTATTCTTCGCTAAACACTCCTTTTATACAGAGTTGCAATAGAGGCACCTGTGCTCAGGTGAAAGCCCTGCAATTACTTCATAATTTGTGAGGTTTTATTAGAATTTGTATGGTTTTGTTTGAAAAACCTTATAAATTATCAAGGAATTGTACTGTTCTCACCTGTGCACAGATGCCTGTATCGCAACCCTGCTTTTATACGCCTAGTTTACAGTAACTAGTAGGTTTACCAAATCGCAGCACAAAAAAACTTGAAAACCATTGAACAACCAAATCCACAACCCTGCTTCCCATCCTAATATTATTATCCGATGTTATCGTAGATGAGTCTAATTTGATGTCACTCAAACTTTTATGAGTTATGATCAATCGATTCATATTTTCTTCGACCACTCTCAATGACGGTAATAACAACACATCTAATAAAAATATAAAAAAATAAAAAAAAGGCACAGAAAAGTGTACAGAGAATCATTCATATGCTTCTGTGACCCTACAGCAACAGTCAAGTCGAGCACAGAAAGAGAAAGAAAAAACTTTTCTAATTTTATCATTTGCAATTTCATTTTTCTTTTCCCTCATTCCTTTCTTTTGCTTTCACGTAAAATGGATGAAAAAATAAAATTCTTTATACAATTTGTCATTTTACTCGAGATTACGTCGTTTCAATCTGCAGGGAAAAATCTCATTCATGTAAGAAAATAGAAAGTTAGATAAAGTTGTTACACAACAAAGAGCAAAAAGAAAAGGAACTCACAAGATTCTTTCCTATTTCCAAAATCACATCTTCTCCTGAATGGTTTCGGTTGTCAGATATTTTCAGCCATCCTAACAAGTTATTCCATCCTTCTTTATGTGCGTAAGTATATACATAAACATTATAAAACAAAAAAATAAATAAATAAAATGTCCAAAATGAAATAAAGACAAAAAATTCTATTCTTTTTGTGTACGCTTTTGTTTGACTTTACCTGAAACTTTGTTGTTTGTCTTTTGATGGAGATTTTAAGGTTAGATTCTTTGAATATATTTTGGTGCTTTTTTCTATGGATATTAACTTTAATGTATGAAGATTCACATACTCTTTTTTAATGGAATAGTCAGCACATCCTATTGAAACATAAAGTTTAATAATTAATGAAATATTGCGACTCAAAAACTCGAAATGAATAAATTAGCAAATAATACAGACGAATCCGAAAAGCACATGATATATTGAAGGCGATCTAATGATAGAATCGGGTTGGATCACAATCATCTGGAATACAAGGATTAAGGAGGAGAGTCGTGGTAAAAAAACCTATTAAAAGCGCAATTTTCGTATCGACAAAAATTGGGGCTGTGCAGACGGAAGACGACGTAACACACTACCTATCAAAGCCTCAAAGGTTTGAAACCAACCATGCCCAGACACAGTTTAAACAGATTCACACTGGTCTTATAGTCGTTGTCATTCCGTAGCTAATGTAAAGCTGTATCAAAGGTTTGTGTCAGCAGCATCTTATCCAATACAAAGTACAAACCAGGGTTCCAAGCACATTATTATTATTTTAAAACGTCGACATTACCATCCGGAAGAACTCGTATTTAAACATTTTACATAGATTTTGTATCACTATTGTGATAAAGCTTCCAATCTTCAATTCCAGGTTTCGATTAAATTCAGACTCTCATTTCGATATTCTGTAGGCGTGACGTGATACATTTCAGGTCCATTCTGATAATATTCCATTATAAGGAAATCTTGAAGCTCCAACGTTGCCCAAATACCCAATTATGGCTTGATCTCGGACATTAAGCAGACGAAGGATCTAAACTTCTAAAAAAGAACAAATTTGAAAATGACTGGTTTCGAACCGACGACCTTCGAGTTACCATCCCAAGTTTGAGCCAAGCGCCTTACCTATTCGACCAGCAAGGCGCTTAACTGCTCATCGGTTTGGATGGCTTGCATACATCATGATGTCAAATTGTTCGAAATGTAAGAAATTTATTGCGGTTCTGTTGAATGCTCGCTTGTAGCCGTCTCAACACAGGTGTACTTTCCGGGGCTTATTAATTTTAATAAGCACCAAAAATTCATTTCAGCAAAAAAAAACTCTTGAAAAACTTTTTCAAAAAGCGTATTTTTAAAAGGTTTTTCAATTTTTCTTTAGCAAATAAAATGAAATGAGAGCCCAAAAAATGAACGGAAGTAACGAGAGAAAAACAAAAAAAAATCACTTCTTTTAAGGATTTTATTTTTATCATCAAAGACTTTTCATTTGCAAAAGAAAGAAAAAAGATTGTGTAAACGAAAGGAATATGTAAAGAACATTATAGGAAAGTGAGTGAAATAAGCAAATGATATATTTAATGAATTGAGTAAACTTTTTAAATGAAGATCTTCTATTTCATTCAACTTTTGGAATTAAAAAGCACGTAGACGGAATTTAAGCATAAAGATTAATCAAATGCCTGCATAATGAACTCGAGGTGTCCTCTTCATTCTTTTATGTTTGTGTTTTTATGTCACAATAAAAATAATTAATCATGTAAGGCACTATGTGATGTGC